GAGTTCAAGAAGTATTCTAAGAACTCTTTGTGACCTTAGTGAGAATAACATCCATTTTTGTGTGCATGGCAAATGTAACTTTGGATTCTTTTGACAAATTTATGCATTAACCATAATATAATCAAGCTCTTTGCTAAGTTAAGAATACAGAAGGAAGGAAGTGAAACATAAGAGGCTACCTGAAAAAGAAACTAGCAAACTTTATCTTGGTTTATCAGATTTCAGGCCAGGTACAATCATAACCTCAATAAGCTACCTCATTTATTAACTTATCTGTAAATATATCAACATGAAGAAAATAGAAATGTTTGTTTTCTTCCTGGGTTTCAATTGGCAACTGTTATTGAAGATTGATTTTAGCTTTAAAATTACAAAGCAGTGGAAGAAACTACGTGGGATACAAGAACTTAGATTAAGAAAATATATGAAGCAGATATAAAACAGGAAAAGGTTTTACTAGGAAAATTATTTCTGCATAAATTTGGAAAAGAATACTCTGTCCACAGAGCTGAAATTAGTTTCAGTTAGAACCACAAACTGAAAATGTATGTAAGAACTTGGACAGACACTGATGAATAGACATAAAAGTGACACAGATTTGATTTATTTATGTTCAATCACTCCTCCTTAGCTGTTAGAAAATTAAGGCTTACTCATGCACACATAGAGAAAACAACACTTATTAACCAAAGGTAAAGTCCCCTTCCTTGAATATTAAATTAACTAAGACAATAACAATATTTCTTTAGTTAATGTATATTTATGCATCTTTTAAATACTTAAACTTTTAATTTTTTTATCTTTGAAACACTGAACACCACCAAATGTCAGAATTCTGAGGGTTATGATGTTACCCTCAGATGTTATTTCAAGTACTAGTTAATTAACAAAAACCAGCCAAACAAAAACCACCACCATCATTAAGATCAATCAAATGTCTGTCATTTAATTGATCATCATAATACTGAACCTGATTTGCATTTATCAAAATTACTTCTTAGCTGATAGAGTAGTAAAGATACAACGTCTTGAGACCTTCACAGTAATACAGTAGTGATCTTATTTCGATATTTCCCTAAGGCATTTTAAGTATGGCTATGTTGGTGTCCCATAAGAAAAGCTATGTGTAGTTAAATAGGGGAAAAGAGGAAAAAAATATAAGAAACAATTGAAGTCTGTGAAAATTATGACTTGACCTTAGTAGATGATCAGTAAAGGATGGACTCATGAAGTCTTAGATTTGGGACATAACAAACTCCTCCTTTAAAGATGAGGCAATGAGCTCATGTATATGAAGTGAGTCTTTTGTGATCACAAGATAACTTAGATGATGGGGAAGATATGATGAGAGGGAAGTTAGAATTCTGTACTTTTAAATGCTCAGGAGAAGATAATTGAATTATCACAGCATCTTGTGTTCTTTCTTAGTTGATTTTTGCCCCAAATTTATATTCATAGCCAACAGCAAAACGTCTAAAGCAGCAAGCTCTAATCTTATCTTTAGGGAAGATGTAGAAACCAGCTGAAGATGAGAGTGAACCATAGACTGGGCAAATGTATCAAACTCAACATTGCACTGAGAGATCAATATATTCTTTTCTCCCACCAGCAGCATTGCCATTCAGGATGTCAAGACTCTCCTTGAATTGTATCACTAGTGGAAGAAACGAAGTGAAGAAAAGGATATTGAGAAGCAGCAGAGGCTACAGGGATTCCTATGCTGGGATTATGGCTTCAGCCGTGGGAAACCATGAAAAAGTGGGGGGGGGCACTAAAGAATCCGGGCCGTACCAAGATGCCCCCCTCAAGGGCGTTATGGCCTGTGTCGCCTCACTCGAGCTGGAGAAGTTCTTTTACTATTTCATGCTATTCTGGTTTCAGGTAACAGAAACAAAAATTGAGCTAGCATAAGGAAAAAAGATGTTTGAACAACTAAGTCACAGGAGGAGCTTGAGCATTCTTCAGACCTGGCTGCGCTTTTGCTGCTTTAAAATGGCAGCTTCTTTCTCATTGTAGCCTGGCCATTTCTTCATAAAAGGAAATAGATAGGCCAGCTGTGGACTTTTATATCTCAAAAGCTACCAGTGAATGACAATATTAACTCTTTTATTCCTATGCACAGAATTGCCAGAGAAAAGCCTCAGGGCCTGGAGGATGATCATCTCTCAACCAGTCAACAGTGACGAAGGAAATGTGATAGGTCCCACTTAGTATTTTGAGACGTCCAACTAGGAAGAGGGAGCTGGGCTTGTTGGACTAGGGAAGCAGATCCAAGTTACATATGTCAAACTGAGGGGAGGGCAGTTCCCAGAAAAGTGGTACTGAGCAGATAATTCTAGGTTTTCCGTTGCGGTATGCCAAGTAACAAGTTGGTTACTAAGATTTGTTTTTTCCAGGTTGCAAATAACAGCAACGTATTTTAGTTAATTCAACTGATGGTCATGTATTGTAAGGATACATAGGAAAGTAAAGAAATCCATCTCAGGGATCCTCTAGCAATCCTGTTAGCATGTCCTTCCCACATCACGTAGCCAATGTTCTCTATTCCAATGCTCCTTTCTTACGATAACTCAGTTGAAATGGGAAGCAAATGAGAGCAGACACATAAAGAATTAAATCTTGACTCTGACTCATGGCTCCTGTTTTCCCCCTCTTCTGGTTTCCCCACAGGGTACCGACTTCCTAAATATCTAGGGTCTCGTATTCACAGTATTTGAGCTAGACTCTGATTGGATAGACCAGTCACCATAGAGTATAAGATGCTTTGTTGGGAGTAGAGCTTTCCCACCAATTTATTTTATAGGCTGTTGGTCAGACCCAACTTTGGCCAGGTAGCAATCATTTTTTCAACAGTTAGAACCAGGAAAAATGGGATCAAGGCAGAAGAAATTGAGGATTAGAGGCAAATTATGGATGTGTCAACTAACTTAATTGGTGAATACCTCCAATGGGCTGCCTGGCATCCAAATAAACAGACCAAGGGTTGTTTTTTTTAAAATAACCAATGAATATTAATTTAAATCCCTCTTTTTACAAGGATTATTTTAGACACATGGGTGTGACTGGGATATATAGGAGAGTTCCTGCAACAGAAGAGCTATAAAATTGATGAGGGAGCAAAAATTATCACAACTGACAGAAGTAGAAAAAACCACCAAATATTGTTTTTTATTTTTTCCCTTAATTTAAACTAAAATATGCAATCTATTTCTTCAATCCTTGCAATGTAACTGTTATCATAAAGATTTCTTTTTTTTTTTTTAACTCAGAAACTTAGTTCTTTCCAAGAGCAAAAAGTTTTTGTTTTGTTTTAATTCCTTAAACTATTCTGGGGATAGAATGAAAATTTAAGAAAGAGTTTTCATGAAAAAGAGGTATCTCAGAGTCATCACAGAAAGCAGAAGATGATTTAGAGAAGGGGACTGAGAAGAAATTGAATGAAAGAAAAGAAAATGGGGGTAGGAGGAGGGTGATAAAATAGAAAACAAATATAATCCTAAAGAGCAGTGTGCATAGTTCCGCTGCAATCAGTACCATCATCCAGGGGCCCGCCCAGTCGGCTCTAGGCTTAGTTTCTCCAGGCCCGAGGCTGCTTCTGGGTAACACAGTGTGCTCAGCTTGTTTGGCCTCCTCTCTGCGCCTGTCACTTGCCGTGGGCCTAAGAAAGGGAAGGCTTCAGCCTTCTGGGATGAGGCTGCTGTTTCTGTTCTCAGCTCCATGGAAATTCTATGGGGACAAGACTATAGATAAAAGATGTGGGGGAGGAGTAGGAAGGTCTCAAATGTTGAGTGAGGAGGCCGGGTGGCTTGGTTTTTAAGTTCCTCTGATACATTTTATTTATACATGTGATGCTTCTGGAGAAACTGAAAAAGGGGACAAATTCACAGGTAGAATGGTTGTGCAAAGACCAAACCAATAACCTACTACTGCCTGAGGTTCTGGCCCCTGCCCAGGGGGCAGTTTCAGAGCTGCAAAGGACAAATGGTGTGTACTCTGATATGACTCAGTCCCAGGACACGTTAGATCAAGAAAATCCCAGGAATTCCTGTAGCTAGCACTGGCCTGGTGACTGGCAAGTGTGAATTTGCAGAGCGAGAGTCCTGGGGCGGCCTAAAGCTGGGGGCTGCTGTAGAACACACCTGATCACCTGAGGTTGGTTGGATCCTGACATGGCCATCTTAAATTCTTTCACCTGAACAGCTCAGGCCTGGGACAATGCCTAGCCCTGTATAACCAAATTGGTAACTTTCCACTAGAATCTGTTTAATGGGAATGAACCCCAAACCAAGTTGTCTTAGAGTCCAAGGGAAAAGCGAAAGGACCCATAAATCTAAAAAATCAAAGGATGCAGTTCTACATATGAATTGTAGTTTGACTCAGTGCAGGTCCTTTTGGGAGGGTGGGAATTGGGGGAGAATCGTAAGCAGGTGATTATGCCCCCAGGGCTACCTAATCTGCATAGGCTGCCAGATATTGAACGAGCTTTTAAACTTATTTCTGAGTGTGGAGCATGAGGGGGTACAGAGAAGAGTGGAGGCTGCAGGCCTCAAGTAACGTTTTATTTTCTCATGTTTCTAGGGAAAGTCTAGTCTTTGGAGGAGCACAGTGGGGCAATGGAAACAGTGGTGAATTCCTTTTATATATATTTTAAAAATCTTTTCCGTAAGCATCCCTCCCGTAGCCTGCCTGGCACTCCGCGGGCCAGCTGTCCCGGGCCTCTGTTTCATTCAATCTGTGGCCTGGGGTGAGCCCTTTAAATCCAGCTCCCGCGCCCTGACAGGTGTTTTCCCAACTCCTGAGGCCGACGATTTTGGAGAGTGGCTGAGCCAATAAGATTTTCCTTTGGGGGAGGGAGCGAGAGAAAAGGCGTGGCTTGTGGGTCATAGCAGGGGCGGGGTTTGCGCGGCTGAGCAGAGCCAGCCTGGTTGCGTGGAGGGTTGTTTTATCCGCCCCCCCCACCTTTTTTTTTTCCCCCTCCGGGTGTCTTATTAATTTCTCCGTGGGGCTGCAGCTGGAGACTGCGGAGCGTTGGAAATGACGCTTGGAGCTTTAATTACCGCAGCCGCCGGACAAGTGTGAGGAAAGCTGACAGGAAAAAGGACTGGATAAGGGGAGAAGAAGCAAGACGCTTCCCCCCTCCCCACTTTCTTCCCAATTTGGACTGGAGGTGCTAGGAAACTAAAAAGGGAGCCGAACACAGCCCGATCGGGGCGAGAGGCCGGAAATCTACCGCCCCTTTGCAATCAACTTTTTTTGGAAACCTTTTTACCCCCTTCTTTTTTATTGTTGCCCGACCAGTGAGACAGAGAAAGTGAGCAGGGAAGGAGAGAGAGAAGGATCACACAGGGAAATAGCTGCACAGTCCGGCCAGGAGCTCCACGCTCACACACTCGGGCACCGTTTCACACGCGCACACACGCGCGCGCACACACGCGCACACTACCCCGTTCTCCGGTCCCTGGACCTGGACCCACGATCGCGGACTCGGTCGCCCGCGCTCGGAGTCGGTGAACCGCGCGCGCGACGCGCCAGTCCCCCTTGCGCCCCCCACGCGCGCCTGGCTGACGGATCTCTTCTGCGTGCCCGAAAGGGGATATGCCATTTGGACATGTAACTGTCAGCACGGGATCTGAGACTTCCAAAAAATGAAGCTGGCGACAGGACTGTGCGTCTGGGTGAGCCTTCTGGTGGCGGCGGGGACTGTCCAGCCCAGCGCTTCTCAGTCAGGTGGGTCGTGGTTCCTTCTCGCGCTCCAGTTGTTGAACCTGCAGCGGCCGGCTCGGCTGCATGGGTGGCTCCCTTGACCCCTTCGCCCAATCTGACATACGCTGGCTCTCAGGAGAGGAGGGACCAATCCACCGGGTCTTCTTCCTTGGGCTCTTGGGTTCCTCTCATTCTTTCCCCAAACTTATCCTCAGTGTGTGCAAGCGTTTTATTTGTTCGGGGGTGGGGGGTGGGGGGAACGGGACAAGAAACAAAACAAAACCAAAAAAACAAAACCTCTGCATCCCTATCTCCTTTTCCTCCTTAAGCCCCCCTTTTTTTTCTTTCTCGCGCGTTTTCTGTAAGCCTGTGCGGGATCCCTTAGTGTCGCGCCTGTTGTGAGGGACACGGGAGACCCAAACCCTGAATCAGAGGAGACCTTCTTCTCTCTGTCTGGTCCCGGAGGGAAAAAGCCTGGGAGAGGCGCGCACCGCCCGGGACGTGGAAGGACTAGGGTCCCGGGACGTGGAAGGACTAGGGTCCCGGGACGGTGCCAGTTGGGCCCTTCCGTGCGGGAGGCGGTGTAGAGTGGAGCTTCGAGAACCGGCTTTGCACCTGTATGTGCTGCGGGTGGCCGCTGCGCCTCCAGTCGCCCGAGCCTGGCTGGGTCAGACCCGACTTGAGCCCAGCCCGGGCTGCTGCAGCAGCGGGCGGGTGCGCCGCAGCCCGGGGGCCCGGAACTCGGGGCCTCCTGGGCCGTCGTCCCAGAGCTCTCGCCCAATCGATTTGAAGGGAGATTGCCTGCCTGCCGAACATCTTTAAAAAAAAAAAAAAAAAAAAAAAAAGGTTGACATATTTGAGCCGGGAGCCCGGCCTTCCCTTCGGTTCCTGGGTTTGGCTCCAGGAAGAGTTCGTCCTGTAGTTAAACTTGCTATTGGCCGGAGTCCATCCAACTTCTCTGTTTACTGCCCAGTGCGGCTGCCGAGCCGACCAGTCGCGCGAATTGATTGAACCCGAGGCGGGCGCGGCTGTGCTGGGTGCGCGGCCACTGTTTGCGAGCGAGCTTGAGCCCCAGCTACCTGGACAGGCCAAAGGCGAAGCGACCCCCGAGAGGCAGCGCGGTGGGGTTGGTGCGCCGCGGCGGGCAGGGCTGTGCTGACAGCACCTGCATTGCGAGGGAGCTCAAAGTTTGACACTTGAGTTTCCTGGGGATGAAAGTGGGACAGGAAGGGACCGCAGAGAACCGGTGTCTGACGCGGCCAAGGGTGCCCTTTCAGGGAGCCGGAGAGATTTCCGGAACCATCCGGGGCTGCTCCCGGGAGCGTGGGAGGCAGCTACAGGAGATAGAGCCCCCGGGAGTGGCGGTACTGAGAGCTTCGGGCCTGGGGAGGGCGTCTGTCTGACCTCACCAAGAAAACAGTGCGCTGTAGTTTTCCCGCTCCGCCCCCGCCGCCGTCGCCTCCCCCTCCTAGCCTTGCCTAGTAAATAACAAGTTACAATCCTAGAGCCTTTCAAGATGACCTTCGAGTGGCACAATGTGCGCCGTTTGCACAGGTCATTTGCACCCTCCCAGTTACTCTGAAATTCTTCATGCATACCAGGTTCTGCGCTCCAGCCACCTCCGGAATTACACCAACACGGACTTGAGATTCCAAGCGGCCTCTTAGATACATCCCTTTTTATCTCCCTCCCCACTTCGGGTCCCTTCATATTTTCCTTCAATGGGTTGATTATGCACATTGGCCCATTCAAAAGCTTTTGGGACCGACAAGCAGGCTGAGCCGAGAGGAATTTCTAGGAGGCGACCTACTGGGGGCTGTCTGGTTCAGCTTCAGCCGCTGGGGGACCAGACTCCGAGTCCGCAGCAATTTGGTATTAACTGTGTGGCTCGGGGTTGAGCTATGCCGAAAAGCCCTTTTCAGAATTTCTGCAAGGAATGTAATCCAAATTAGTTCTGCAGCTGGTCTCTTCTCGCTTCCCCCCCGCGAATTGTCAGACCCACAAGTGAGCCCATTTAGAACGCGAGGATTAGCGTGCCATTGTTGTTCCGTGTGTGACTCTGTACTTGAAATTCTGGGGACACAAAGGCGAGCCTCACTTGTTCAAAACACAGCGATCTAGATAAAAGGGCCGCACAAAGAAAGGCTGTCGGGTGCATCCCTGGTATAATTGCAACACGCATGCTAAGGTGATCCACTGGAAACTGTAAATGCCCCGGAGGATTTCTTTTTTTTTTCATCCTACCCCACCCTCGCCCTGCCGCACCTGGCAGGGAAAGTTCAGCGGGTTTTAATGTAGTGCTTTTATAGAACCACGTAACTGTCTGGGATGTGAGTGAAGATCTGTGTATGTTTGTGGCTGTGTATGTGTGGCTGTATGTTCCCAAGTAAATACATATTGCGTTTCCGCTCTTGTGGTTAGCAGTCAGTAGCAGTTTGGTGGAGTTTGTTTTGGTCCAAATGAGAAATTAAGTGCGGATAAGTAAACTAAGCTGCCAGAGGGCGACAAGATGTTGAGTGAATTGCTTTTAGATGAAACAAATTAAGGAAACGAGGGAAGACAATCTGCTTCTCGCATTATTAGACACGCTTGGAGTTCAGGGGAAAGCGGCATATTTTTGAAATGCTAATTTCTTAAGAAGCAGAAGGAATGCACCTTATTTACTGCTCTATGTGAACAGAATAAAAATATAGGGGCCACGACAATTCTCCTGTATAGAGTTAAGGTATTTCTGAAAATAATTGTAACTGAACAGGATGTGGCTCTTTTTGTTTTTCAGCTCTAGAAAAAGCGACTGTTTTTTTGTTTGTTTGTTTGTTTTTTGTTTTTGTAATTCAGAAAGACTTTCCCTCATTTCTAGTGATTCATTTTATTGAGAAATATTATAGTCAAGGGTCCTTTATATGGCAGCTATAAAGCCTTTACCACTAAAAGGAATAATTTCAAAATTTCTGTCTTCCTGGTATGATTGAAAAATGATCAATATCACCTTTGTATTGAAATGAACTACATAGTAGTATGGGAATGATAGTCTTCCACACCTTAATAGATATGTGATGGACACAGATATGTGATAAGTTCAGTTCCCATTTCTTATTTACAAGTAAGTTAGTTCTGCTTTCATTCTATAAAAGAACATACATTTTCCTACGTATTTAAGATATATCTGCAATCTTAAGGGTTGTTTTACCTTTGAGAAGAAACAGGTTAATAAACTTAGTTAAATGAGAAAAGGATGTTAAATGTATTTTCAAAATAAGCCCCATATCAATTCTTTTTCCTGCATGTGTTTACTGAAAACACACCCATGGGTGCACTGTTTTTTCTTTTAATTTTGAACATCTTATATATGTTAATGGGGTCTTTTTAGAAGGTATTATTTTTTCTTCAGGATGCTTCCTAATAGATTTATACCTATTACTATAAACTGTGCATCACTTGGAAACACCCTAATATGGACTGTTGTGATAAAAATGGAAGGACTCTTGGTTCTGTCATGTTTCCTGTTTTCTGATTTTCTTCACAAACTAAACCACTTTTATTTATTTTAATCACGTGTACACTGAAAGTCAATTTTTTGAAAGTCAAGGCACTTACTGCTTTATATATATTTTTCATTTAGTCCCTGGAAATGTGTCTTAATTAAGAAATTGCATTAGAATATTTACCAGGGCATGCACTTCATAGAAAATTTAAGTATTTTTTTCCCTCTAACCTGAACACAGTAAGTTTGCACTGGCTGAATTTTGGAGTTTGCGTATATCTGAGGTAAAATTGTATTTCCTCCTTGAAGTGGATTCAAATATTTAGTATTCATGAGCTTTCACCCCTTTGGCTCTTAAATAGAAGTGCTATTTATCATCTGTCTTATGCATTCACCCTTTCTATTCCTATAGATTCTTTTTTTTAACATCTTATTGTTTGTTGAGTTTACACATGTGAGTATATATTTTCCCCTCCACCACTAAGCATATTCTTTTTCGTGTGTTTTTCCCAGCAACCTGCCACTCAGCCACTGCAGGGGTCCTCTGAGCCAGTTTTCATTCTTTCTTTCTGATAAATCTGATATGGCTGGTTGGCTGGACAATCGCAAGCCATTCCATTGCTCAGATGTATTCCTGAAAGACAATAAAAAGGCATCGATCCAAGATCACTAACGCATCTCAAAAGCTCTGAAGCCAAGGCCATACCTCTTTACAGAGAAGTCTTTTTTCTTTTCTCTTTCCCTTTTTTTCTCCTCTTGACCAGGGAAGGAAGGTAGACCACTGCCATTTAAAAAAAAATGCTAAGGATGCAAGCAACTGGGATCTTTCTAAATAGTCTCTGAAGCTTGGTGATTAGAGCCATCTTGAGATTAATGAGTATGTAAGGTGCACCTTTTAGACAATAAATTGAATTAGGGAGCCTTAGAAATTGCAGTGCTAAGAAGTGGTGTCATTTTTGTATTATTTCAATCCAGGTATTATGAAAATTTTACATGAATTAAAAATAGCAGCAAGTTTTTGCTTTAGTTTACAGGGTTCTGCTGCTGTTGGATATCACATGTGATTTGTAAATGCCTAAAACATAAATGAAAACAAATGACCAAAAAGGTGTTCTGTTACCTACAAACTGGTTAGCCCTTGCTGTTTGATTTTACCCTTTATGAGAGGTACAGCTTTATAGAGATGTTAATATTTACATTGAAATCACCTTATACATGTTCAAGCCTATAGTTGTTTTACAAAAATTAATCGTCAAGTATATCCCATTGTTTTCTTTTTCAATGATTTACTGAGTATGTTGTGCAGGCTAGAATTTAATCATATTATAAACTAAATAATTTTACAAATGGTCTACTATGTTACATTTGACCACATGGAATCAAATTACATCTTTACTCCAATATTCATTTTCTAAATTATTATAAATATTGGCCCTTTGGAGTAAAACATTACATTTCATGCTTTCTAATATAGGTATTGACTGGAGTTTACAGTTTATAATGACAAATAATTTCTTAATTTTTTTTTTATAATTAAAAG